TTATAGAGCTTCTTCCTAAAATACTTTCTTAAATATGACATGATTTTTTGGCTTCTTTTTAAATCGAAAAATGTAAGTCAATTTATAATTAATGCTCTATTCGGTTCATTTTAAATTAGAGAATTATTAGGAATTAGCGAAATACTTTAAATAAGTATTTCGCTAATTCCTAATAATTAAATAGGTATTAAATAGTATTTGACTTTCTCTGAACATTTCTGAAAGGGAATATTTTTTTTTTTTTTTTAAGTATTATTTAAAACTTGTAACTGAGTTATTATAAAATGTAAAGGGAATAATTCTTTTAATTATACTTTTACCCTTCATTTCAACAATACATATTCCAAAACTCTTTATTACGTTCTTAAGTGCGCATCTCATAGCATTTGCTTTACAATACCTTTTAACAGATTGCTTTCCAATACGAACAATTCTTGCTTAAATAGTTTTATAACGTATTTGTCAACAGGATTTCAATTTATGTTTACAATTCAATATTAAGGTTATTATATATTTAGATAACATTTATAATCATTATAAATTAGATACATTTAATCATTAGATTTCTTCACAGTACTTTCACAGTTGTTATAAGTGAATAAATTCTTCATTTCAAATACATTTATAAATAATTTAATGAATATTTAAGTATTTTGTCAAAGGCAGATACATGCTTTTTGCAAGCACATGCATAAATACCCATACATATTTCCTATTTATCATTTCCGGCATGTGCAAATCTATAATTTCTGTGCATTCACTATATTTTTCGTGTAAAGTAATTTACACTAATTTAGCATACACCCGAAAGTTTTACATAAAAAATATATATGAATATAATTTGAATGAAAATTATAAGTATTATTTTTAATACCCACTCAAAGGTCAGTTTTTGTTCACAATTCCTCCACGATGGCATCTCTCTCTTTAGGCAGATAGCCCTTGCATGCGTTACTCTATTTAATAAAAACTTAATCTGACCTATGTGCCTAATTACAAATATTTTAACATACATAATTTTAAATTTACCTACCTCCATGCTTTTTCCGCTATTCTGCGATTTTAAAACTTCACCGCCAATTCGAAGAGCTCCTGCAATGTGCTTGGGTTTCTAATTTCGAAGTAGTCTTGAACAGCAGGTAACAATCTTGGTAAGATTATTTCAATAATCTCCGCGTCGGGTTTCTTCCCATACAGCATATCCGTCAGCTTAATTTTTCGCAGAATAAAGTTCGTCAACTCTTCTATATCCCGTTGATAGAAACTATAAAGTTCGGCTTCTAGCCTTGCTCGATCTTTCACTATGGGGAAGGCCTTTAATAACGATTTTTTGAAATTTTCAAATGTATATGTCTGGCCTCCAAATTCCCCTAATAAAAATTTGCCTATATTCTTCCACCATAGCGCGGCCTGTCCTCTTAGTGCAGATGTGGCGATGGCAACTTTTTGTCTTTCAGGCACAGGGTAAAGCTGAAAGTGATTGTCGAGACTTTCTAGAAATATCGCCACCGAATTTTTTCCGTCGAAATTGACGTTTGGCTTGATTGACGCTCTCAACGTCTGGACCAGGTATCCAAATCCTTCCAATTGGCTTGCCATTCCTTGTTGTTGTCCCGCGGCTTCCATCCGATTTTCGGCCATTTCAGTTCGATAAGAGTTCGGGCGCCAATTTAGAGTTGCGCGCCTCCAACCTGCACGCAACCAAGAGGTGACTGTTGAAACTGGAAAATAGACAGAGTCTTGCTAAGGGTTTAAGTCCCTTTTTATTCAACTTAAGAAATTACAATTGCGTGCTCTTGACGCTCACAAACTACGCCGACTCGGCGGTAAAATAAAAATAAGAACCTGAAAAGAAAATAATAACAAGACTCTAACTACGAGGCTCTCTAAAAGTAACCAACCTCACCGCGTTTTACAATACCGCTGCTAATTCAGCTAACTTTGAATATCACGTTGAACGATTAACAATTCTCCGAGGCAAACACACAGGCCGAAACGCGGGGTTCTTCAATTTCTGGCTAACTACCTCCGCGCTCGTGAAGTAAGAACTGCACACCTCGAACTCGTTTCCTTTCTATTTAACTCAGAATACTTCCGCTGATAATTTGAATCCTTGCGCGTTCTACTAAAATTTACATACTCTGGCATTGGCAGTTCCAGGGGAAAGTAAGGCTTGACAGGAAAGATAGTTTAAACTTAAAATAAATGTTAGTTAAAATAAATATAAACCCTACACAGTAATCGTAACCATGTAATGCTGTCATTACGAACAGATATATCATTTGCACAACTACAGGTGATAAGAGCGTTGCAATTCCAGGAACCCAGTGCTTTGCCTACCACTGACAAACTAAATTAGATGATTAAGGAGAAGTTTGAACTTGGTTTTGATCAGTGTCACATAACTTCCTGTCAATCGTGTTAGCTTCAATCATGAAATTCAATTTGTACTTTGGCGACAGAGGACCGCACGTACATGTATAGATGGTCTGAAATGCCACAGGTTCCCAGTAACTGTTTGGAACATATGTCTGGGCAGCTCTGCTTTGCGACTGCCAGATAATAATTTCATGATAATCTTCCATATTACTCTGACGGCAACACAATTTGTCGGCGATTTTCAGAGAGCATATTTATGAGTTATCCCTATTCAAATTTTTAACAATATCTGATGAGTCTTAGAAAAACGCTCTTATGGTTGCATCCGCCATTTTCATAGCTAGCCCAACTGCTTTTTTTGCCAAACGAGAATATTTGGTAAACAATGTAATTAATATATCCTCATTCTAAGATGTGGAATAACCCATCCATTTGATTCGTAAATGGCACGTCATCTCAAGAAGTTGTTCAAAATCGCTGTGTTTTAGTACGAAGGTAGAGCAACCATTTGTAGAGGATATAAATGGAGCCACAGCATTAACATCAAAGAATTTTTCTGCTTTGTTGTTATTCCTTAGCAATTGCAATGATTTCATTTCTCATTTCTATACACTACACACACTAAACTTCAGCCTGCTCATATAATTACCTCAGGGTCATGTTTTTTGCTCAAAGTGTTTATTTACAGGAAATAACACAAATTGATTTCGTTTATTGTAATTCTTTTCTGTTTGAATTAAGTTCTTATTTTTCGTATAAAGACGCCCCTTACTCTAACCATTCAGCGAGGTATTCAGATTAATTACTGATCCCCAGCATATTTTGAGAAAGTCAGAATATGTTTTACGCTTTTTATTCGATCAAGTTTTACTTCAGAAATATTGCGAGTAATGTGTCAGTGAACTCAGCTCTTGAGTAACGTAAAAGATAGGGACTAAGAGGCAAGACTCTCATTTGCTTTTGGTCAAGGTACTAAGTACAGCGTAAATCGTCATATTTTGTTATAACAAATTGATTTTCTATACTTATAACTAGTTAAACAGACATAATTATCAATATTATGTTAAATTTAAGAAATTTCCATCTAATTATTTATTTTGTGTGAAAATAATATTATTCCATGCTTAATGTTTCGAAATATACATGAAAGATCCATAAATATATTTATTAATATCAATGAAAGAACACCGGATTTTTTCTATGTACAAATGTATTCTCTTAAAATTTTATTTCAACTTTTCCTACTTTGTTTTTGGAACAGTACAGCACAACTTGTGCTATGAACGAAACTTTTACTACTTCTGGATATTTAAACTAAAATAACAGACAATTAAAGCCAAACATAACATAGTTTGTAAGGTTTTAATTTAAACTAACCAAGTTTCTTTTTATTTTAAGTTACCCTTTCCTGTAAACTCTTATTTCAACTTCCCTTCAGAATAAGCGCACTGTTCAGCTTTATGCTAATTTGTTTTGGAGTCAAGTTTTGTATTTAAGGTTAGTGAGAAACTTCTCAAGGGTGAGAGAGCTTTTAGTCTCAGACCACGTCGGCTCGGTGGACGTTCTCCAGAATATTTAGTATTTAAATTCTACGCCTTAGTGCTATTCCTAAAATACTGATGGAAGTGATTTAAGTGCGTTAGTACTTAGCAAAGGCTTGCTACGCACCATAAATAGGCCAATCTCGCGTTTAAGCTCTGTGACAGTAACTATTTAAACGTCTACTGAAGTTTTACTTTTAAAAATTGCTTGATTGTTTAAGACCCAAGCGCGATTATTATCTTTTCTGTTATCACTCCCGAGTTGGGAGTTCCTGTAAATAGTGATTTCAATAAAAGGGTCTTTTACATCCTTCTTACGTTGTAATTCTTCTAGCACTCTTAAGAACATAGCTGCATTCAGCTCACTGTTCGAGTCAGGATATTGATACTAGCACCATTATGTTTGCCAAAAGTATGCACAGAACATCAAGTCCTGATAAGTTTAGGACTATACATAAAATAATTAAAGCAAGCTGGATGAAATATTTTACCAGCGCGTATATTAAAAGATCGTCTAGAGAGAGTGTAAAGACGGAATATTACATTTAGGCAGAGTTGGTGAGAGCGCTAACAAGGTTCCAGAAGCACTCTACTACAGATTCAAAACCCTCAGCTTAAATACACAAAAACCTAATTTGCATTCTAATGAGGAATGTGGGAAAGAGAAGTTATAGTAAATACTTAATCATAACTACTGGTTAATTAACGTAAGATGTCTTGCAAATTGCTTTGTCAGAATATTCCAAAATAATATGCTAGTAATCTTTATAAAACAAGTGCGTATATATCTTTGCAACTTAAGGACTTTGCAACTTCCTAGAGTTTCTTAGCTTTTTATTCATAGTTTTGCATTTTTATAAAGTTTATTTATTTCATGAGTTGATCTATCAGTTCCTTTTGATTACGCGAACAATTTAAGAACTTGTAAGACTGCTGAAGGACTTTAATTTAATCTACTTTATTCTGTATGTCAATAATTAAATTCCTCAGTTATATAAGTTTGCAAACATTTTTATAAAACCTGAAGCAATCATAGTTTCATGCAAAATCATTAACTTTGATTATATTGATTATTTTCAGGTCCCGTGACTTTCTTCCAATCTCAAGGTTTTACAGATTTTTATGCTGTTATCAGCAGAGGAAGCAGTTCTCCCGGTCATTTTCTTCTTTGTTTTTATCAAGCTAAGTATTAATTCCGTAGTAATAAATTTCATTTATGGCTTTTCTAACATCTTTCCAATTCAATAATTCCTTTCCCTCACTAAAACTTCCTCTTCATTCAACTCTTTATAAACATGATGACATCTTGTTTTCACTGATAAATCCCTTTTTATTTATCCGACAATTCTACGTGTTTTGCATTTAATTATTTATAAAATTTACTTAAAGCTACCAGTGGTGAGGTGATTAAAACTACTAACACTTTTGTTTCAATCTAGATTCGAATCTTTGTGTGTGTATGGGCTAGCTTCATGGTCCTCCCCATGCATAATACAAACACTAACCAATGTTTTCCTACAGCAAGCCTTATACGAAGTCATCTTACTCATAGACAGACAGCTCTTATTTGCTGTATTATATTGAGATGAACCTAAAGACAAAGGGCCTAAATTACTGAAGTTATGAAATAATCAGGTTTAGGAAATGAATCTGAACTTGATTACTGAAATTGAATTTCTCTTTGAATTTTCCAGTCCTTTTGTTTATCTTGCAGTATGCTGAATTTGGTCCTTGCTTGCAAGTGAAGTAAAGAATAAACAAGCTTTTCCTGTATCAGTGTACTACTTAAACATTTCTAATACCTATGTAACTTCAATGTATTAAGATCATTCGGAACATTTTTCAATGTTTTAAAGTAATTAACGAAATAACTTAATATTTTGGTATCCTTAGCCCCTCCTCTTCAACTTAACTTTAGCCAGAAGTATGCAAATTTAATAAGCTATTAAGAAGATGCTTGTGGGTGTAGAAATAAAAAGGGTGGAGCAGGTCGTAATAGTTAAGACACAATAACACGCCGAATAAATGTTAATTCAGAAGTCAAACAACAAAAATCAGCGTTATATTGGTCTATAAACTAGTCCTGTGAAAATTTTGTAAATATAACGCTGATTTTTGTGGTTTGACTTCTGAATTAGGTCGTAATAGGTTTATCCTGCTGAATGAAGTTATAGTGGCAAATTCTTAGACCTGCATTTGCAAGTCATTGACGTTAATACATATTCAAGCAAATGACGTCAGATTAACCTTTACTAGTGAGTAATTTTAAATTCCTTAATTAAACAATTGACAGATGACCAGCCCTTTAAACTTCATGATTTTGAAAAATAAAATTGAAGACAGTAGTTTCGGATCAAAATTAAATGATGAGTTATATAATCAATTTGTTATGCTCTTCATTTAAATGCGTCATATATGTAATACCTTAAAAGTGTATGATGTAATCTATTATACAGTAAATTATGTAATATAATTAATTGTTCTGACTTCTCTAGAAAGTAATTTGTCAGCTTAAACTTCAAAAGGGTAGTTCTGTTTTCCAATACGTACGTTGTTTAAATTTTACTGCGAAATGGGTCAAATTCTAATAAATTAATTTAATTAAGTATTGAACATTCTTTCATCTTTGCAGCTCTTGAAAGTATGGGAAATATTCAAATCTTGTGTCCAAAGTCTTGCTGTTGCTGTCCAAGTAAGTGCAAAATATTAAAAGTGGACAACATGGTTGTCCACATTTCTTATTCTTTTGTTTACGGTCACGCAAATAATTTTGGAAATGAAAATACAAATACACCTAAATTGGATCTGATATGAATATCCAACATCATACTATACAAAAATCAATACTGCAGACATCTTTGATAATCGTAATTATGATTTTCTTCTCAGACATTAGTATTTCCGATGGCCAGTTGACCTTTACTTAGGGGTAGGATGACAGTTCAGTGCTGTTCAATAATCATTTTTAACACAGGTACAACAGTATGAAAATACCAATGAAAATAAACATGCATTCTACTGGTAAAAGTAACAGCTTGTGTTATTTATATTTCTCGCAAATAATTTAATGAACCCTGCATTTAACCGTACGGAGTATGGATCTTTAAATTTTCTGCGTATTATGCTCTCTTTGAACCTGCAATTGACTCGCGTAGTTCAATCCTTCTGGGAGAGAATATTCAAAGAAAATGATTCAAGTCTCCCTTATCTTCATAGATGCATTGGCTCGAGTTAAATTTTCTTTCGAGTTAAACTTATTAAGCTTGGCAGAATAGAATATGATTTAAGAGGAAGCCAGCCAGAGATATTTAAAACTAGACTTTGAAACTAAGCAAAGAATTTTTCTACTAGTTACTAATGAATTCGTTTTTTCTACTGCCATTAATTCCTAGCTAAAGTTACATTAAGCTTTATATTCACATTAACTTGAAAATCGAAAACCTAGTGGACCTCAAAAAGAATAGTGAGCCCTTTTATGGAACTTACTCCCTCGAGCATTTCTGGCGTTGGAAAACTATTCCCATTTCTTAATGCACGGAATAAATCTTTATTATTCACTGCTTAAATTAACACGAATCAAAAGTTAAACATAACCGTTTATGAATACAAATGTTTGGCTTTCATTTGTAAATAATCACAATTTTGAGAGATTAAGATTTTCTTCTTAATTGTTATTCTTTACCTTACTGAAAGCGTTAATTTTAAGAAATAATAAATGATATATTTTTTAATTAATTTATGATAACATCGCTTAATAGAAAATTTTTTTGCTACCAAATTCCGTTTAAAGTCGTACTTATCATTTTAAACGTAGTCCAATGTATATTTCTCGTATCAAAATTATATATATATGTATAATTTCTCATCATATCATAATATACAAAGTCATCATACCATATTTATTTGTATCAAATCATCTGTTCTGTGTTTTTTGGTCTTTTTTGCGAATAATCACTTCGTATTTTGCCATTTTTTGAACGTATGGTTATTTACAGATATATTTATGTGTATTATTAAAGTTATTTATTATTTTTTCTTTTATATCTGAAACTTTTCATAAGCATTTCTTAACAGCTTTTGTCTTCTTTTGTTTTGATATAGATCATTTTCTGCAAGAAAAATGAAGAGGTTCTCTGATTGAAAATAACCGCGCAAAAAACTTCTCTTGTTGTTTTTAATGATTAAGAATGTTTTTATTGTTAAAAACTGACATTTTAATATATTTTTGTTAATGAATTAAATTCTAATTTTAAAATATACTTTAATAAAATTTTCAGGGTTAGTAGTTTATTGATGCTTAATATATTTTGCATTAGTAGAGTAGATACAAGTTTTATTTATAATTAAAAATATTTGATTCTTGTCATGAATCTATTATTATTAAATAATTAATATTTTTTAAATACAGTTAGATCCAAATATACTACTTTTAAATAATTTATATTTTTTAAAATATTGCTAGATTCAAATACACTATTATGAAATAATTTATATTTTTTAAAATGCTGTTAAATCCAAATATAGTATTATTAAATAATTTATATATTTTTTCTTAATATGGATACATACATTATATTTTCATTTTTTGTTAAAAATTGTAGTATATTTCCCTCAAAAATCTTGCAAGTTTAGAATCTTACAGAAGAAATTAATTATAAATGTACCATAGTAACTTAAGTAGCAGTAATTAATAGAAAAAAATCTTTGAAGTTATATGGCCTTCCAATTATTCTAATATTTCCTACCTGATAACGGTATTTATTATTCATAATTATTACTTAAGAGATTATGCTTCTGGACTTCAGAGAGATGTATCTCGTTAAACAAATGATTACAGTCCTTGACATTGAGCTATTTGGAAAAACCACTTATGGCTGCTATTCAGTTTATTTTTCAATATAAGGTAATTTAAAGAAGTCCAAAATTATCCTTATGATACCCTTTGGATCTAATATTATATAATTATTCCAAAATTATGATTCCGAAGTGATATAAAAAGATAAAGCTCTAAGTTAATAATTAAATAACAAAGCAATTAAAGCTCGAAGTTAATAATTAAATAACAGAGCAGTTTATTTGTTTATAAAAAGCCCCTTGAACTTGCCATTTTCCTACCAAATAGCTTTATTCTCATGCACTTGGTAAAGAACTGTAGTTATTCTTAATAAACTGAATTTCGAATTGAGCTATCTGAATTAGTTCGGAATTTTTATCATGAAATACCTTTTCAGATCTGATAATATCAAATGTTTCATACTATTAGAAACTAAACTTTCAGTAGCTTATTTTTCATTTTATGCCATGAGAATATTGTTATTTTATTATATAATTCTTTTTTAAAAAATTAGTGTATTACTTGTGAATTATCTGTCATTTTTATTTGCTAATAGAATTACTTGTGCACAAAATTATTTATGTCATTATTAAGCTCTGAATGTTTTATCAATTAATGTAATTATTTTATGTAAATACTGTTTCTTAAACCTTTATTCAGCTGAAAATTATAATTTTGCTGTATAGTAGTATTATATTTGAAAATTACAAAGGATATTCAAAATTGTTTATGTGTGCTACCATTGTTTTTGAAAATTTTCCAAACATTGTATACAAACATCTTTCTACATTGCAGATCGTTTTAATTGCGATAAATGCAACCGTGTGTTTACATCGCAACAAGCATTAACCAATCACATACAGCGCCATAGACCTGATGGTACGGAGAAAAGGCACAAGTGCAATATTTGCGCCTATGCTACCAAATACTCGAGCCACCTGAGACAACATATGTTCACTCACAGCGGAGAGAAGCCACACAAGTGTCCGCACTGCCCATCAGGTTTCACTCAAAAATCCTTGCTGCGTAAGCACTTGTTGACTCACGAGCCGAAAGAGGCGAAACTGACTTGTGATCGTTGCTCGGAAAGCTTTTCAGATGTCAAACAGCTACTGAAGCATACAAAGAACCATAAGCGTGAAGACAAACCTTTTCGCTGCTCTGTTTGCAGCAAAAGGTTTTCAAAATCGTCTAACTTAAAAAAGCACGAAAAGAAGCATGCAAAGGAGCATGTAAAGGAGGAAAAGTTTTCTTGATTACTTCAGCTTCAGCAACTCCTTCAGATTTTTTATAAAGGATTTTGTTCTCATTTATATTTAAGTAAAAATAAAATGTTGCCTTGCTAATAAAAGACTCCGTATTTTCTGATTTTTAGCGATTTACTTTTTTATGCATTTCTATTAACTTTGGTTTCCTTTTACTGTATCTTCAGAAAGAAAATAATTTATTGTTAGTTCCCTTATTATAATAAAAGAAAAGAAAAGGAAGGTAATAAAATTATATATATCTTTATATTTACTAGTGTAAGATATTTACCCGAGTTTATGTAAGAATTCTTAATGCTAAAACAGAAAAGTAGATTTTCTTTTTCGAATCATTTAGAACAAGAGGATGAAATATAAGATGAAAGCGTTCTTAACAATTTGGTAATAAAATATCACTAAATTGTTGAAAAACAATATTCAAGAAAAATTATTTCAGTTATTAATAAAAAAAACACAAATCTGTCATATAAGTTATACATGTGTACCCGATAAAATTTTTGAAATAAAAGGAGAAAAATTAAATAAATATCTTCTTCTGGAGAATAATTTAGATCTACTCTTTGCGTATAAAATAAATCGTTCATTCATGAACCCAGCTCAGTTAGACGGAAGACACCGGAGGTGGAGGTTCGCGCTCCAGAAAGCAAGGAAGTAACTAACTCTTCGACGGCAAAGTGAATTTTTCCACAGCATCCAGTTGCAGCTAGCACCTACTGTTTCATGCATCAGCTATGATTTTTCCAATGCAAATATTGCTCTATTTTTCAATTAATTCTGAGATAATTTGTTCATCTAACTTCTACAGCTCATCGCTATAATTGCTTCGGGATCTACATGACATCATTGCTTTTAGGACTATTTTACAAAATTTTTAGGACTCTCATGATATGCTAAGCAAAATTAAAGATATGCACACCATCTTACGTTGCTATACACAGGGTAGGAATATGTTCCAGGAACCTGACTGCGTGACTTCGTCACTTAAGATAAATCGTTCATTAAATATGCTGAAAATAATTTCAGTACATATAAAATAACTCATTAAATGACTTTTTCATTTTTTATTTCTTTAAGGTTTTATCTCTTTATTTTTTATGTTCTTTCCTTAAAACATTGAATTTTTTTAAATCTTTCTTTCATAATTAATTAATTTCTTTAGAATTTCAAAAAACTTAATCTATCTTAATTTCAAAAAATTATTTATTTTAACTTTAATTCTTGTTTATGCTAGTTTTTTATTATTTTACAAAAGGTACGTATGTTTTGTATTTTGTTTATAATTATCAGAATATCTGAATTCAAATCATTTCTTTGTCATCCTTTCTTTCTTACTTATTATCACGCCTCTTTATTTAATAGACATTATAATTAAGAGCGATATTATTAATTAGCTGTGCCAAATTGGAAAACATCCTCGGAACTCAATCCAAATCGCTGCCAAACGACAGGCACTCGTAATCATGTTTGAAGTCCATCCGTCTTGACAGGAACTACGAATAGAGTTGCCGTTTTGGCATAGTCTCATAAGAAGGCTGTTGCTGTCGTTTCAAAAACGGGAGTCATAATTATAAGAAAGTACTCAGCTTTTAAGAAACATTAGTCACATGTAAGATTTACTTAAATTACACAACTATCATAAGAATGACAAGAATCGTACAGTTTGAGATCATAAATTATTTTACTACTGCATACTGCTTATGATCATAAATTATTTTACAACTCTATTAAATTATTGTCACACACAAAGAACGAGTTAGTCATTTTTAGACGATTTATCTAATTTTAGTAGTTTTATTTGCATTAATTTCACTTTATCCTTTCACATTTTCTAGACGTGTGACATAAACAGAATGAGATTCTCACACAAAATGCTCTATAAAAGGCAATTCATGGAGGAACGTATGTTTTTGTAAAATTTAAACAGTTTAATTTCTAAAGTACTAAATGACGAAAAGTAAACTGAATTCATTAATTACAGAGAAGTAATATATGGAATTAAGATTAAACTTAAGGAAATTTCATTTTTCTTTTGCTTTCTTAAAATGTATATTATTTTAAAATGAAGAAAATAGTACCATATAATCTATAATAATTTAATGTCACTGGTAAGACCCGCCTAACGCTAGAGGGCGCTGGGAGCGCCATTGAGAATGTGCTGAGATTCAATGCAGTTGCTCGATGGAATGTGACGCAGTTGTAAGATTCTGAGATTGAGATATTTATATTTAATTAAATCAATTTAAATTTTATTGATTGGTGATTATTGAATTTGATTTATTGATATGACAAGTGATATGTTTAGCTGAACCACCACACTTTCGACAAACTTGGATTACCACTGAACTTAAAACCACCGATGCGCATTTGGTGCATCGGCCGGGAACAGGGTAAGAGAATTTTTATTGAATTATTGAAACTGAATTATACCTGGATAGAAATTAAATATGGCTGAAAATCTGCCAAAGTTGAAGAAGAAACGCAGTTCCGTGCGTTCGATGTTGACGAAATTAATTAACAAAATAGAAGTTGCTATCAACAACGAAAACGAAACAGTTGATCAGTTAGAAGCATTTTTGGAACAATTAATCGGAAAAGATACTGATTTAAATTCTTTAAATGATGAAATTGAAAATCTTTTCAGCGATAAGACAATATCTGAAAATATAAAAGCTTCAGAAGAAATAAAAGAAAAAATAATTTTTTGGAAATCGAAACTTCTTTCTAAAATAAAGAAATTGAATTCTGATTCTATCCAAGTTGATACAGTTTCACAAAGCATTCAGTTGATTAATAATGAAACTGAAAATATAAATATAAAATTGCCTGAATTACATATTAGTAAATATTATGGTAATTATTCTGGTTGGTTAGATTTTTACAATTTATTTGAAAGCTCTGTTCATAATAATCCTAAATTAAGCAAAGTTGATAAATTTAATTATTTGAAATCCTATCTCGGTGGTACCGCGGCAGCAAGCATTTGATTTATTGAAAGAAAGGTTCGGAAATAAAAACATTTTGATTAACACTCATTTGAGTGTTTTGCTGAATTTAACTCCAGTTAAAAATCTTAACGATGTTATAAGTTTACGAAACTTATATGATAACGCGGAAACGCAGATCAGAAGCTTAGATTCTTTAGAAATTACAGGTGAATCATATGCAAATCTATTGACATCAATTTTAATGAAATTAATTCCTTCAGAATTCGTTTTGGAATTTAATCGCATTCAAGGCGACAAAGAATTTGACTTAAAAACTCTTTTGCAATTCATTAATAAAGAAATTCGAATCCTCGAGAGATCCTTTCCAATAAATAATTATAAATCATCGAACCAACGAGTGCATTTATGTTCCTCGCAAGAGAAAATAAAAAATTCTACTTCCGTTAGACATAACTCTTCAAGACCTCCGCATAAGAGGGAGAATTCTTTCCCCTCCCCACACACGCATGAATTCCTGGCGTCAATCGAACATGTTATGTGTTTATTTTGTAGCAAAGGTCATAAATCAGAATCTTGCTCTATATTTAATGCAAATGAACGGAGAGTTATATTGAAGCAGCGAGGTCAATGTTTTCTTGTTTGACCCCAAACCATCGAGTAAAAGAGTGTTTGAAAAAGAATTTGTGTCCCATCTGCAGCAAACCTCACCATGTTTCAATTTGTTTTCGAAATCAAAAAAATCCACAAATTACTCCAAAAGGTGAAACCGATAATGTCGTATCGGCGAATATTGTATCTGCGAAAAGGAATACTATGTTACAAACATGTTCAACCTTAATTGATAATGGGAAAGAGCAGGAAATTGTTAGAATTTTCCTGGACAATGGTTCACACCGCTCCTTTGTTTTTATCAGCTATTTGTAAAAGATTTAACTTTTCAGTTGTTAGAAAGGAAAGTCTTTCCATTTGCACATTTGGTGCTAAGGAAACGGAAACAAAATCATTTAATGTAGTTAAACTTAAATTAAAGAATAGAGATGATCCAAATTTATGCATAGAAATTGCAGCACTGGAGACAGAACATATTTCGGGTACACGTTTACCGACTCCGGATAAAAATATTGAGAAACAATTTAGACGTTTAAAAAAATGTACAACTAGCGGACTGTTATGAATTTAACAATAAAGAAATATCAATACTAATAGGTGCAGATTACTATTATGATATTGTCACTGGTCGAATTACACGCATAAGCAAAACCCTCGTTGCAGTTGAAACAATATTTGGGTGGTGTTTGCAAGGCCGAAACACAAACTTAAATGAAACGTTTGCAATGAGTGTTATGGTAAACGAATCCAATATTTCCGATCAACTCAAGGAATTTTGGGATTTAGAGAATTTGGGTATCGAGGCAGAAGTAGCTGACATAGAACACACTGAGAAAGAAATAATGAGTGAATTTGAATCCGGAATTACATATCAAAATAAGCGGTATAAAGTGAAACTGCCCTGAAAACCAAATATGAAGACATTATTAGAAAATAACGAGCAGATAGCAATGAAAAGATTTTTGAGATTGAAATTATCTTTTAAAAATGACCCGTCCTTATTTTGTGAATATAACACTGTTCTAAATATAAATTTAAACAAATTTTAATTCTTAACAAATACGTATAAAAGTAAAAAAGTAAAAAAGCAAATTTAAATTCTAAAAAAAGAAAAACCATACTTTAGCCAGTATTTAGTTAAGTTTTGATATACCAATTAAATCAAGTTCATTAAACTTTTAATATTTTCTTTCATCAAATTTAAGTTTTATTTAACTTCCTAAAGGAATTTTTGAGAAATTTCTGGGAATTTTTAGAGGTTTTTTAAGGACTTCATTTCAAAAAAATTTTGGGAAATTTTACTTTAAAACTTTAATATTAAAACATTTCAGTTTTTCTTAATTACTTTAATTTTTTGCAATTTTCACAAAAAATATCTTTCACTTAATTTTTTAACAATTTTCTCAATTTTTTAACAGAACACACATTTCAAATTACAAACAGTTTACATTTTTTTCACATACCACTTCACTTTAATTTCCTTCAAGCAAACATACATCTCTTGATTGGCTCAGTTACTTAACTCCCTAAATAATTGATATCACTACCTTTAGGATTTTTAATTTAATTTAAGTAATATTAATATTTACAAAAACTTTTTTACTATAACAAAGATAGCAGCTTGACACTCAACTTTACCTACATAAGCGCCATCTATATAATTTGAAGAACACACTTACTTCTCTTTCACAACACTTTTGCAGACCCCAACACTCATATAGTAGGTAATTAAAACTTACTATTTACTTGCTTTAAGTATTTTTTTAAAAAAATTTTTTATGTAGTATCTAAGTATTTTCTAAATATGAAATTATATTTTTAAATATATATTTATTTTAAAAATTGTGAATTAGTTCCTTTTGTTTCTTTTTGTTTTTTATTTCTTATTGGTTTATATGGATTATGTATAGTTCTTTTATAGTTTCTTTTTATTGATATGCATATTCGTGTAGGGGAAGTTTCTGTAGACAAGGATTTCTAAAATATATTGGTTTCTAGATTTTTTTTATTATTTTATAAAAAATTAATTTTTAAAAATTTAATTTTTAAGAAAAAGTTTAATTCTTGACTTTACATGCTTGTTTCTCAAAAGACTTAATTAGTATTTTCCTTTTTGAACTTTAATTCTTAAATGTTAATACTTAAATGTTAAATTCTAAGGGCAAAAGTAATTCTAAGAATTACTTTTGGTTTTGACTTTTACCCTTGCCTGCATGAATGACGAAACACGAATTGAATGATTGGAGAGTTAGGTTTGGAGGCAACTTTTTCTTGATAAGTCTGACTCCTGCCTACTCTTCGATCATTCACATATGCATTTTTTAAAAAAATTGTTTAATTTAATTTTAATTTATTAAATTAGTAGATTTATTTTCATGGATAGATTTTGCACTTGATTTGCTTATGCTTCTGAATTTAAATGATATTGTAGATTAGTTCGAGAATTAAACTTTTTACATGTTTGCATATTTTAAATAATTTTGGCTTTTTTCTTTTTTTAGAATTTAAATTTGCTTTTTTACTTTTTTACTTTTATACGTATTTGTTAAGAATTTAAATTTGTTTAAATTTAAATTTCATTCCTTGCAGCAATGGCGCAAAGAATATTTAATTAAATATGTATTTAAATTTAATTTTTTTAATTAAACTCAATTTATTCTTATGAAACACTGTTCTAAATAATTATCTTTCGGAGAATATTATCGAACCTGTTCCAGTTGATGAAGTAAATTTGCGCCAAAATACATTTTATCTACCTCATCGAGCTGTAATACGTACGGATAAGACTACAAGCAAATTACGCATTGTGTTCGATGCTTCGGCTCATGCAGAAGATCTATCTTTGAACGATTGCTTATACACGGGACTTAATTTTATGTCTAACCTATTTCTTCTTTTGATCAGATTTAGAACGAATCCGATAGCATTTGTTGCAGATATCAAGATGGCTTTTCTCCAGATTGAAATAGATGAAAGTGAACGAAACTACACCAGATTCTTCTGGGAAGAAGATCCAGGAACTGATGATGGAAACAAGAAATTTGAAATTTTTCGGATGACAAGGGTGTTATTTAGGGTGAGATCTAGCCCGTTCCTCCTTGCAGACACAATCAAACATCACTTGGAAAGGTATGTAGATATATTTTCTCTGACTTTTAAGCATTTTAATGAATCATTGTACGTCGAAGATTTTATTTGTCGGCAAATCACTGTTCAACGGGCTCTAAAGATTTGTAAAGAGAGTGTAGACATTCTAAAAGAGGCAAGCATGGACCTTCGAAAGTGGAGAACCAATTCGCCTGAGCTAAGTAAAGAATTAAAGAATTTAATCTTCAACGTAGATCAGGGTGAAGAGTCTTTAGATACAAAATTGATAGCTTCAAAAGTATTGGGAATTGGTTGGGATGAACAAACTGACACGTTTTATTTCGATACCAGAAATCTGGAAACATTTCTTTCAAAACGAACTAAGAGAAAAAAACACTTACTACAAGCAGTAGGTCGACTTTTCGATCCAGTAGGTTTTATAGGACCGTATACTATTAGAGTTAAGCACTTGATACAGGAAATTTGGTGTTTAGGATTAGACTGGGATGAAAAATTGCCCAAACAGTTAGAAATTGCTTGGAATAAATGGTGCGATAAGATCCAAGATGTAAAGGAAATAATTATTCCCCGATATTATTTTCAAAATTCTTTGCCCAGTCATGCAATCACTATTCAATTACACTGTTTTTCAGATGCATCTAAGAAAGCTTATGGTACTGTTGCGTACTTACGCATAGAATTAAAGAGTGGAAATATCATTTCTATTATTGTAGCATCAAAGATCAGGGTAGCTCCGTTAAAAACCCTTTCGATTCCTAGATTGGAACTCATGGGTGCACTTTTGTTTTCAAGATTAAGCAATAAAATTGTAACTGCACTAAGTTTTCCAGTTACTCGATATTTTTGGACGGATTCCTCAATAGCTTATTACTGGATCAAAGGTGATCCAAATAGACATAAGGTGTTCATGAAGAATAGAATAAAAGAAATATAAAAATACAGCAATTCAGAAGAATGGCATCATTGTATAGGAAAGAATAATCCCCCGATTTGATTTCTAGGGGTTTGTCCTTAAGCGAGCTCAAGAATAATCAGCTCTGGTGGCATGGACCCTGTTGGTTGACAATGAATAATACAGCATGGCCATCCTCCTTAGAATCAAAGCTCCTTAGAAGAAAGCGAAGTAGATGTCGATAAGTTAGAGTTTAAGAAGTCAGTTGTTGTAAATGCAACTGTTGAAAATAGCCAAAATGAAAACGATTTGATCACAAGATACTCCTCATTCAGTAGATTAATTATGATAACCGCTTTATGTTTGAGATTTATAAATAACTGTAAAGCAAACCCAGAGTTGAGAACAGACTTCATATGTGCTTCTGAGTTAAGACATGCTACTGAAGTTTTAGTAAAACTCGTACAGTCAACTGAATTTCAAAGGGAAATAAAGTGCTTGAGAAACGGACTATCTATTCCAAAAAATAGTAAAATATCATCTCTGAACGTATTTCTCGACAAAAATGAGGTACTGAGAGTAGGAGGAAGACTGGAGTATTCTGAGTTTTCTGAATTTCAGAAACATCTGATACTCTTGCCAAATGCTCATCATTTCTCTAATTTAGTTATTGAATATTATCATAGAAAATCCTTACATTCTGGCCTACAGATTACATTATCTTTAATAAGACAGTCATATTGGATACCGTCTGGCCAAGATCGAGTTAGAAGAGTAATAAATAAGTGTATGACTTGCTTTAGAACGAAGAATCAAACGGTAAGCCAGATGATGGGTAATCTACCTAGGGACAGAGTCGTGCCTTCTAGACCTTTCGAGAAGGTCGGATTAGATTTCACAGGACCTATAATCACGAAACCTAGTTTGAAGAGGTCAAAGGTAACTTTAAAGTCTTATATTGCATTATTTATCTGTTTTTGCACTAAAGCAGTGCATTTAGAAGTCGTTCTGAGTTAACAACAGAAGCTTTTCTAGCCTGTTTACGATGATTTATTGCCAGAAGATCCAAACCAGCCGTTATCTGGAGCGATAACGCCACGAATTTCAAAGGTGCGGGAAATATTCTTAACGCCTATAATGATATTTGCAAATCTAACCCAATTTAAGGATTTAGTGCAGAAGAAGGCATCCAATGGAAATTTATCCCACCAGCTTCTCCTCACTTTGGCGGACTGTGGGAAGCAAACATAAAATCAGTGAAACGGATTTTGTTAAGGGTAGCAAAATCCGCTATCATGAATTTTGAAGAGTTAACTACTTTAGTTACTCAAATAGAAGCAGTTCTGAATTCCCGTCCATTATCACCACTTTCTTCCGATCCGAATGACTTACAGCCTTTAACTCCGGGATATTTTTTAGCAGGAAGTGCTATGTTATCCTTTCCTGAACCACATGCTTCGGATTCTCTTTCTTTTCATTCCTGGTGGGAACTAGTTCAAAGACTCCAAACCAAATTCTGGAAAAGTTGGCATTCCGAGTATCTAAATCAACTACAGAATCGTGCCAAATGGAGCAGTTCGCAGCCAAACATTCAGATTGGTCAACTAGTACTGCTGAAGGACTCCAACGCCAATCCTTTGCATTGGCTACTAGGTCGGATCCAACAAGTGTATCCTGGTGTTGACCGTCTGGTCAGAGTAGTTGAAGTTAAAACCTCTGCAGGTGTTCTTCGGCGAGCCATCAACAAAATTATTCCTCTACCATTTAAAGACTGAATAAACTTGAAAAATTTTTATTTTATATATTTAATAGTTTACCAATTTAATATTTAGTTTAGTGTAATTTTGGTGACTTTAAATTTATTTGAATATCTGGAAATTGAAATGTAAACTCCATGGGATTTTAAGCGGGGAGAATGGTAAGACCCGCCTAACGGTAGAGGGCGCTGAGAGCGCCATTGAGAGTGTGCTGAGATTCGATGCAGTTACTCGATGGAATGTGACGCAGTTGTAAGATTCTGAGATTGAGATATTTATATTTAATTAAATCAATTTAAATTTTATTGATTGGTGATTATTGAATTTATTTATTGATATGACATGTGATATGTTTTGCTGAACCACCACACTTTCGACAAACTTGGATTACCACTGAACCTTAAAACCACCGACGCGCAGTCACTTTATTTTGCTGATGTTATACATTAAATATTTATTTCAAGTATATTAATAGTGTCTTTGCTAATAATAATTAAACTTAAAATATATATAATTTACAGCGCTTTCGTTTCATAATATATATTTTCTCTTTCGTGAAGTTTTGGAAATAGTTTCGTGAACGAAATTGTTTTTTACAAAATATGCTTCAGATTCCTATATTGTGACTATAATTTAGCAGGTCTTATATTTTTAATGTGATCGTAGGAAAATGCATTGAAGTTACTCATTTTAAAATGTCCTTTTCAATCAGTAATTCAGATTGTAATTTATGTCAGTATTATGATATTTTCTTCAGGAATTTGAAATAAAATTCTTATATAAATATAGGCTGTAAAGATAGTTTATGCGGAAAAGTAAAGAATTCATTCAAGCCAATAACAAACCTTGTGAAACTAATAATAAACCCTTTATTTAGAACGACACACACAAAAGTCATTTATTAAGATTCTTTTATAAATGATTATCACTTTTTCTGAATTATTTTATAAAATATTACATTTAAAATAAAAATTTCCTTTTTAAGCAAAATTTCACGCTTGTGTGCTAATCCAATACGAAACAAATAATACAAGAATGAAAATCCAGCTGTTGACGACGAATTTCGGGGCTCCACCGCATATGAAAGAATAATCTTCATGCATAACGTTTTCAACTGCCGATCCGAAACGTTGCCCTTCATCACCGCAAGTTTTCTTGCTTTTCTCTGCTAAGCATAATACCGTCTTCATTTCCCTAATTAAAAGAAATATATTTCCGTATTTAGACATAAATTATTGTACTAAGCTTTATATATTGAAATAAACAAATAAAATTTTCCTATCTGATTATGGTTAGACAGACAAGATGCATTTCTTGCCTTCTAGGTAATTTATAAAAAAAATTTGGGGAATTTCATATATATGCTTTGTATAATGTTTTCTGTTTTTTGCTGAACAGCAGATATTCACTGTGGACATAGCATTTTTACTGTTAATTATCAGCGTACGTTTTGGATGCCAGTGCACCTATACTTAATCTGATAGACACATGACTGCATCTGACTGCAAAGCTCTGCATTCAGTTTACAACTACTCAGGTAAGTTCCATGTCAGCTTAGAAACAGCATAGCAGCTGTGTCGAGATAAAGTTTTGTTTTGCCCAAAATCTATTCTTTTTCTATAGACTACATCTTCTCATAAAAGTCATCTGATAAAGTGACAATTAATATGCGGCATATTTATTATTCCTTAATAATTTAGACAGAATCTCAGAACAATTAAGTTGCGGATTCAGATTGTTAAATCCATTTTTTAATGAATGAATCTCATACTGATTTATTCTTAATGCGAAATTGTCATAGTGTCAATTAGGAATGCTGTTTGAAATATCATTGATTAATTCATTTTTAGCCGTTCAAAGCATGTTTATTGATTTTAAATAAGCCTTCATTATTCCCTAAATATCATTCATCGAGTTTTTATTATCAAACTAGCAGCTTCGCTGCCAGCCTTCGTCTGCCTTTTAAATGTACCGGAAAAATGGCTGAAGGGAACAACAAACGTTAAATTTAAAAACTGCTTCGAATTTTACTTTGCAGGACAACTTCATAAAAAAAAGTTATTACGTATAACAAAATTACAATGAAATAAGCAATATCCTTTAATACAACTATTAAATATCCTAATAAATAAATTAACCAGCTTCCCTTTGCAAAATCTTAAGAATTCAAATGGTATAAAGGAGGTTAAGAACTTTGTTTCCTAAAACAAATCACTCAAAACTTTCAATATCTTAAAGACAGTGAAATGAGCAATAAATAACATAAAAGAATACAAGAAACAAAAAATTCTGAAAAGCAAAGTATAATTAATGATAGTTTATCTTATATTTTCAAGTGAAAAAAATTACAATGAAATAAGCTATATCCCTTAATTATCCTAATAAAAAAATTAACCAACTTTCTGTTGAAGGAAAAAAATCATGCAAAACTTTTCAATGTCTTACAAATAGTGAAATAAGGAAAAAATTACATGAAAATACTCAAAAAGCAAAAAATTCCGCGCAAAATTTTACTCTTCAGAACAACTTTATTAAAAAAATCAATAAAAATGTATTATATATATAAAAAAAATGACAATGAAATATGCCAATCTCTTAAAAATAGTGACATAAGAAATACGATGAAAAATTGTTACCAAACCCATATTTCTAAAAGAATGAAACTATTCAAAATGATGTGATTTCATCAAAAATCTATCAACAACAATAAGAAAGGAAAATTGTTGCCAAAATCACATTTTTAAAAATGTGAGAAGTGTACTCGGAAGCTTCATTTAATTTTTTTTTAAATACAAAATATTCAAAATTCGTTTTGTAAAAGCAGTCACAAGGATGAAAGTTTAAAGTGTCCAAAAATCAAAGAAAAATAAACTGTACATTTTTAAAAATAAACTTTTTTTAAAAAAATCCCTTTGTAAAGGTGTTAAGCTCACATTGTTAAATAAATTCGTATTTAATCGATTTATTGAAACATGAAATTTATTTTAAGTTCGTAAAATAGCTAAGTGACGTTTCATGACGACGTGAAAATGGAGTGTGTAGAGTAAAATCTCGCTTTCCTATAGCCCATTATGTCTCAAAATGACGCAATTTCGTCACAAAACATAAAATTAAAAAAATTCTAATTCGAATTTCGAAAAACTCGCTTCGAGGTGCACTGACTCTTGTCTAGATGCACCTATGTACCAAATTTCGTAGCCGTGGGTCTATTAGCTTACGCGCAGCGCGAAAGAAAGACACATTGACACATGCACAGACAGACTCTTTCTTTTATTATATGTAGAGATTTCATGTTACATGAGCTTACTCATTCAATATCTTTTTGAATTATATTCCACAGATCGCCTGAAAGGCCTCCGAGAATTAAGGCCTGCTTGCCGGGTATGCAAGCACACCCGCGTTCACCTTTGGAAATGTTCCAGTTTTGATAATTTTTTTTTACTACATTCCATGTATTTTAAAATGCAACATAGCAGTCTAAGTTCACATACTGAGGCATTCCTCCAAAATATTAGCAAATGGAGAAAAAATACATTATAATAGTATTATTTCAAATTAATGCTTAATAACTTAGGAATAGTAACTTTTTAATTTGAAATTCCATCACTACAGAATAGCGGGAAAATTTTTTTAAAACTGAAAAACCTCTCAAAAATAATAAAATAGAATATATTTACAATATAGTATACTAAAAATAATTTTATATAAAATATTTATTAGTTGATTAAATATTTAAAAATATAAGCAGTTGAGAAACGAAGTATTTTTTATTTTATTTTATTTTCAAGCGAAACTATTTTGAGGTTCTTTCTAATAATATAAAAATATTCAGCAATTTTTAGCATTTAAAATTGTTTCCAGAGCAGTGTTTTAAATGTAAAGTACTGCTTAAATGTAAGTTTTAAGCGTAAATTGAAATTATTAATGTTTACACTTACAAATATTCTGAAATTGATCTTTAATTTACGTAAATTGCAGTACCTAAAAACTTCAATTGACATGACTTTGTCTCACGTTTTGTTGCTGAATACTATAAAGTTTGTTATTTAGGAACAAAAATTATCTTCAGAGCAAAAACAAATGAGCGATAGTAAATTTATTTTACACCATTATTTCGAATACATGTAAATTTTGCGTATTTTTTTAAAGAAAGGAAGAGTTCTTACTTGCAAATTTTTTGCAGTGATTCATCTGTCTTGCCAGTGAATTCTACCGAGGCACACTTCTTGAACTCACTTTCATGTTCTTTAAAGCAGCTAGTAAGTTTCGGATAAGCTTGAATACAAAATAAAAAGTTATTTCTTGATATTTATAATACTTCAGACGTTATTGCAATTTATTTGATTTTCTGCTATATATAATCTGTAAATACTTTCTTACTCTGTATTTCTTACTTTTTAAGATGCACGAAACACAATTACAAAAATAGTTAAAATATTCTTGAAAGCTTAGAGATGACTAAACTTTTAATAATCTGCCAATTAAATTAAATTAGAACCATATCAGTAATAATTAGGTATAACTTTAATGATATAATTTAAAACTATTCAGATAATTTTAGCTATACAGGCACAGGAAATAGATACCTCCATAAACTTGCTTTTAATTCTTAATTTACGTTATTACGTAAAGAAGTAACAACATTCGTTCTTAATGAAAAAGAATCAACAAGATTAAGCAATTTTGAGTGTTTTTCCACCATTTCATAGAGGTTGTCAGATGAAATCTGTCAGAGTGTATCTGTCAGCTGCTCTAGAGTGGAGGATATGAGTTAAACAAGCAGTGAGTATTAGTGTGTACGCTTTGAAACGTACGTCACATTAGGAGAAAACCAGGCTTTACAACGAAGGAAAGAAAGAAGCTGTTGAGATCCAACTGCCTGTGCGCTGCTGTAAAGGATCTTTGGGGATCTAATCTATTTTCATACAATACAGCTGAATTGGTTTTAATGAAATTTTATGGATTACTGAATTTATTAACTCATGCCTAATCTTCTGAAAAAATTCCTCTATTTTTTCTCAAGGTATAAATTTTTGTTTTAAACAATATTCTTTTTTCCTCAAACATTACAAGATCAATTTTCATTTGTGATAATATTTCCATTAAAATGTCAACCATATATGTCCAGAAAATTTTCATTGGTATAAAAATAATTTACATTGATATGATACGCACCAATTGCTATAAATGCCATTCTAATGAAATTAATTATTTCAGCGAGATTTGAAACTTTTTCAACCATGTTTGTAAAACTTATAAAAATTATTTAAACAGTTTTTAACTAGCTCCTCCAGTGTCAATAACAGAAAATAACAAATTTATGAAAAATGGGTCTAGAAACCAGTTTCATCAATAACGAAGAAGTTCGATGTTTGCATAAGAAATTTCAATAGTTTTCCCAAATTCCAAATAAATTTTACATATTATGAACAGGATATTATCTTCAGAACGCAAAAAAATACAGTAATATTGTCTTTAACTTAGAACACATTTATAATATGAGCAGTAAAACTTACTGTTTTGTATTTCAGATCCCAGTTCGCACATTCGCTCCAAATAATCAGAAAAACTCCTGGCTACGGCAGCAATATCAGGTTCGCTTTTTTTGCAAGACTCGGATATTTCCTTCAAGCAGTTTTGTCCTTTTTGAAATGTTCTGCAGTATAAAACATGTCAAAATGTAAACACGCAAATAATTACCCACTTTCTAATCTATCGCTAAGAATAATAAAATAAGTTCTAAAATTAGAATACTCTTCACTTTTAATATTAAATATCAGGAAATTTGGAAATACGTTTTTATTTAAAGAATATATCAGCTTTTAGAATTAATGCTGTCTTTATTTTCAAAAACAGATGAATATCTCAAATGTACATTCCATTTATCCCGCTTCAAAATTAACGGTATCAAAGCTACGCGCAAGAGATATACCATAAAAGTAATGCATACTAATAATGCTTTGCATTTTAGTTATTTCTTCAATTAAGACATTTAAAGATGTAATCGTTATTGCAGCTTCTTATCCTAAGGAAGCTACTGGCATACTAAAAATTAAAATGTTTGCTTGGTTTACAGAAATTTAGCTTTAAAATTAAAAAAGCATTTTTGAAGGCAAAGCATTCATCAAAAATATGAAGAAAAAGCATTTGGTAGTATATAAATTACTATTTTTCTGACCGTAACTAAACTGCATGCATTTAGATAGTACTGCAATTAAATAAAAAGTAAATTCTTAATTCCTAAACTTTAAACTGGGATACGCTTATAATACACTAGCTTCAGGGAAAGCTACTTAATTCCCTAACATTTAAAAAATCCACAGATATAGGTACAGGTACAGGTAGGCAGGGCAGTACAGGTATAAGTAGTATATAAGTAGGCAGGCACCGGTGCTTCAACGTAAATTATACAGGTATTGTCCCACTGCACTGTACAACTCTACCCCTCTTCTTGAGAAAGAACACCCCGGGGGTGGTCCAACGCCTCTTCCACTACCACCAACTATTCGAAAGGCTCGATTTTAAGTATTTTGAGGGTTGCACAGACAATAATTACTTAAAAGACATCCATGCCTTATCCCGGACTCGAACCTGGGCCCCTTTGTAAGTCAGCCAATGTCTTTAAACACTATACCGTCTGGGCGCTATTAAAATTTCTTAAAAATCTAAAGCAACAACAATGGCAGGTAAAATATTCATAATAAATATAATGAGAGAATTTTAAAAAATTCACAAAAACATGCAATAAATAGTCTCGTCAAAACTTAATATAAAAAGGAATGACTAATCCCTTTTTGACCATCATAATTACAAACTTTAGTCTTTTTCTAATTAGAATACTACAGAATAACATGGAAACAAAATTTATCTTCCAGAGCTATAATCACTGATTTAAGAGTAACTAAAAAGTAATTTATTAGAAGTATTATTATTAACTTATTAGAATTTAAGAGTAACTTATTTGAAAAAATCTGATGAGTAAACCACACGACTCCCTACGGCCTACTAAATTATAGACAATACATTTTTTGCTGCACATCATTTAAATTAGTTCCTCGAATTACTCTAACTTAAATAACCGATCTCGAAGCAAGTCAAAAGTGACATTAAAAATTGAAAATTTTGAAATTAAATTATAAGGTATTTCTCCCGCCTTCCTAGCGTGCCTTTGTGGTGTAGTGATTGTGCACGCTGGGCCGGTATCCAGAGGTCCGTGGTTCGATTCCCGGCGAAGGCGTTGCTAATTTTTCATCTCTTCTGCCTCAAAAAATTACCTAATGTCTCTACAAGATGTTAAAACGAATTTTTCTTAACTTTATTTGTTCATTTCATTTATCAAGATCAAAAAACTGTTATTTGCAGAAACAGGGAGTTTTATGTGAACTTCTAAAATATATAAAATTAAAATTTGTTCTAGATCGCGAATTTGTTCAAAACTGATTAATTGTATAAATTAAATTATTCATTATAAAATCTTAAATTGTATCATTTTTCTGAGAGTGATAATGAAAATCTATATTTGGTTGTTACTATAATGAACCGCTTTCACAAACCAAGCAGTGTTAAAAAATGTACCGAAACTTGAGAAAGAGTAACTTCATTGCTCTGTATACAGGGTGTCCCATCCGGACCGCTCAAATCCTCACTTGGAATACATAAAAAACGTCCAAGGAACTGTACCACCCATAGTTTTCGACATAAATGCCAAAGAAAAGTATGGCGTCTTATCCTGTGCAAAATATCAGTATTAGAATAGAAAGATATAAAATGTCCCTCACGCATATCGAATCATGCATGCTCGAGCGGTGAAATGGCTGATTCACCTATTGCAGCAGCATAGTGTCCACCAAAGTACATGCAGCATGAAGGCGAGCAACTAAGTCACTTTTTGTAGTAACTAGGCTCTTGATAGACAAATTCCTTCAGATGGTCCCATAGAAAAAAATCCAAAGGTGTCAGATCTGGCGATAGTGGCGGGTGTAAAACCGGAGCACCCATTTCCAATCCAACGGCCTCGGTGTTCCGTATCCAGCCAATCATGTACAGAAGCACTAAATGCGCTGGAGTTCCATCATGCTGGAAACATAGGGAATATGACAGATATGAAGTCATAAGTTCCTTTCACATTTATCTCGGAAACTATGGATCATACAGGTACAGTTCTTTCCCGTTTTTTATGTATTTCAAGGGAGAAAGCTGGTTGTCCAGAGTTTGGGAGGTCTTGTTGGGACATCTGTTGGTTACGGAAATATCGCTTAAAAGGAAAGTTATAAGATAATATCTATTTCGAATCACTTACTAATACTATTTTATAAATATTTCTAATAAATAAATAGTAGCTTTGTAATCAATATTTATTTTAACTGTAAATGTAAAACTTAAGTACGTAGAGGCAACTGCAATACGTATTTAATTTTAGTGCAGTGCAAAACTTGAAAAGCTGTATGATAGTCGCTTTTTATGTGAGACAATAAAGAATATTACTGTTCAACAGTCTACATAAAATACACTATATCAAAAACAATATTCAGTTGTTATATCATTTCATAAATCATTACAGAATCGAAACCCATGAATTGACTTGTAAATGAAAGTAAACATGGGAAAAGTCCTTGCTAAATTAGGCTTTTTCGTATGGGTTATACAAAAAACTAACTATCATTTTCATATCATATCAACATCGTTATCATTTTCACATCGACATCATTTCGAATCGAAAGAAAGCTTGTGCAAAAACCTCGTTGAGTAAAATTTCAAAAATTAATTAAAAAGGCTAAAAAAATTTTTTTTCGAAAAAAAAAATGGTTTATTTTCGTATTTGGAGGTGGAGGGTATTTTAGCTTGCTTCCATACTTGGAAGAAAGAAATGACGAAATTTCAAATGAATGATGTATTTTAGTATGCTCTCATATACTGCTTTTTTAGGGGGCGATAAACTATGCTCTCGAATTTTAGATTTTAATTCAGAAAATAAATAAATTATTTCTAAGATTTCAGCAAGGACAATGAATGCACACAAAATAAAAAGCTAGTTACCATTGAAAATCTATTAACTAAATACGTGCGAGAATGCATTAAAAGTTCAAATACTTGAAACGAAATTAAATAACATGAATATATGTAGCTAAATTTACAACAGGCTTAAAATTATCCCGGATTTAAGTAGCATAAGTCTTTGGAATACGATTCCAAAAAGAATGATATTAATTGTCTCATCAAGAAAGCAGCTGAAGGTCTTTATACTTACTGGCAAAATTCTTGTGCTACCTTATCTTTATCCTCCATTTGAGTTGCAGCATCCAAATATGGCTGGAGAGCAGCCATACATGCTTTTATACTTTCTTTATTACATTCTGTGGCTGATGTCAAATTACCAAGGGCTGTAAATAAATTCACAAAAAAAAAAAAAATCTGAAAGCTTTCAGATTTTACATTACGCCCAAAGGGGCGTTTTTTTTTAACATTTGATTTTTTACCTTTATTTATTAAATATCATGTTCTTCGCACTTAAACCATAAAATTCAACTCAACAGCAATATCGTAAAATAATTTTAAAATGAGCATATCTTTAGAATTTCCGATGCACAGTCTCGCCCGCTAGAGATAAAAATGTTTTTTTTTTTTTTTCGTACAGTATTGCCAGTGTTCGCTTTGAAATCATTGAGTTTGTTAATCAAAAATTCGTTAAAGTATTACAAAATATGAAATAGATAATAAAATTTTCAAATTTCAAATTCAGGCTTCCAGATGCCCATATTCAGTGGAAGATTACGTTATCCAAAATTTCGTGCTCTAGGTACCATTGTTTTATCACAATGCGAGAAACATACATACATTTATACAGATTCTTCATTATTTAATTTCTTTAAATGCAACACAGAGCTCTAATATTTGGTGGCAACAATTTGAAAAGTGAACCGACATTTATAGTGAAACGAAATGTCAAAACGAAATTGATAGCCCTTCTGGGCTAACGCCTTTTGCGCTAATAAATATTTAAGATATAAAACCGAAAGTTCAATTTTTATAATAGCAACATCGTACTAAATTTAAAAAGAAATTTATTCCGATAAATTAAGGCTATGAACGTCAGAGGACATTTCTTATGAATTAATATGTATATTAAGTTATTATATAAGAAATATTTTGAATTTATTGGCTATCGCGTTCAAAATCGTTTTCAATTTGGATATAGTAGTAGTTCAGGACACTATTTAATATTTTCCTTCTCCTTTAATTATGTTAAAGCTTACTGATACTACAGTGGTAGATTCCCTTCCAGCTACTGGTGCCACAAAATTTTATGGATGATGCAGATAGAACTGAAAGGTATTATAAATTTTGGAACAATGTTTAAGCTTGACCCAATCAAGGAAAGTAAAACTGGGCATGTGCAATTTTACTATGCAACTAACTGAGTGAAATCTTCGACGGGATGTCAGTTCCTTTTTTGTTTCGCTGAGAAACAGTTTGTTCAGTTAGAAATATACAGAACCTCAGTTCGAAATATATGTTCTGTTTGGTCGATAATGCTGTTTGGTCAGTTCTTATACTAAATGGCATAAATTTGAACAGTTTCAACACTTAGACAAGAAGCTTATGCCAACTTCCATGATGTAGCAATGACTGATTACCTAACACCGTACATTAGGCTCAAGCTATTTGTAATCATGCTCCACGTACCCCGTCTGCATTCCCATTATGTAATCTACATATACAGGTATAGTAATTGCACTATAACTATAAACACAGAGACATCATTATTTTTACTAGTTATGAAAAATTTTGTATATTGTTAAATAATTTTAAGAGTAACTGCATTTAAATAAATTTTTAAAAATATTAGCACTTTAAAGAGGAACCTTGAGGTTGCTTGGCAGCATTCAGCAATTTAAAATCCGTATCGGAAGATGACAAACAGTCTGTAGTCCGAACTTACAGTGGAAAATCTGTAGGAGCATATCTAAGTGTGTGGCAGTTTATTTTAAGTAACGAGTTGGGTTTTAATTTGGCTTCCTAGTCATGCAGCTTGTTCTCTCCAGATGATGTAGATTTTTCAGACAAGCGTAGAGCAGGGAGACAAGCGTCTGAGGCAAGTATAAGCGTACAAGCAGGGTAATTAGAACCGAAGGGGAGTTTTCTGTCTGAAGAGGGCCAGTCCAAGTCTGAACCTAGAGGTGTCTAAACGACGGAGACGCAAAGAGCTCCGTCGTAGCTATGGTAACTACTGCTGTTTATCCTGGCCAAGGTACAGCCGAGGTAAATATTGTCCAAAACGGTAAGCTACAGTTAGAAGTTTAATATGTTAAAATTAGACAGTCTTGAAATTTCACTTCCATTATGATAACTCGTGTATGATAGCTATTGGCACTTAATTAGGATCAACAAAACTAACTCTAAAATTACGAACACCAGCACTCTCAAATCTAACGGTATGTGTCATAGGCGTATAACTAAAGCTTTCTCCACTGATAAATGGTGCTTTTGAATAGTAGCAGAATAATGATTGCTTTGCCAAACACTTCAGAATATTCGTCTTTCAAATTAGTCCACAATGAGACAAGGAATTTCTTTTCAAATTGTAACTTTATCAGGTTCTGTTTTTTTTCATTACTTGCTTTGGGAACATTAAATGTCCTGACTCGGAACAGGGAGCTTACTAAAGCTATGTTCAATAAATTTGGGAAGTAGACAATACACACAGGAAGGGTATACGAAACCCTTTATTTTTCTCTCTTACAATGATTTCCGGACTTCGGAATACAGAGACCAACCACTTGTGGTCTGTCTGAACGTAAGAATATAAAATATTAACTAAACTCTAACTAAACTTAACTTTGGATTAATCAAACAAATGCCTACTCCAAGATTGGCCGTATATTAGCAAAAAGCCGTATGTAGTACAGAGAACTGCTAACACTACGATACGTTTAAAATTATCAAGAGGATTAAACCTCTGGCCTTGAAGGCAACCAGCAACCGAGTAAAACTGCTAAGGCAAGCGGCCTGCTTCTACTAACTCCTTCCTCTCTCTTTTGCTTGGCAAAAAGCCACAACTTAAGTACTTGGCGTTCGCAAGACAAATTTGCATAAATAAGTTAAAGCTTTTAATTCTGGCCGGAAGTAGAAAATAAGAAGTGATAGTAAAGATTTAAAATAAAATAAACGTTAGTAAAACTTAAGATCCTTACATACTTCCCGGCAGAGTTAATTAGTTTGAAACTGAGGTCTAAAACGACCTTGTTGAAAACTTTTAGCTCTAGAATCTAACGCGAGGCCAATCTTTTACAAAAATTTCTCACTAGAAACTAGAAATTTTTTTAAAAAAAGTCGTTTTTACATTATCAACTCCATGGACAATTACTTTTCATCTGTACTGCATCTAAACAGGAGTTCTTAGTTGAAATCTGGTTCCTTCCAGAGATCTGGAAGGAAAACTAGTTTAATGAAATGTTACACAATTAAATGGCAAGTAACATGAATACTTATATTTCTCTTTTAAATTCTTATTTCATTCATGACGTTTATTATTTAATTATCTCCCCCGTGCTCTCTGACAATGTGTTGTAAAGGAAAAACACCAAACACGAACGTGTTATGTACAAGTGTTCAACACTACCGCCTGCAATCAAAACACTAACGTGTTAAAATTCAACATAACAAGACCTCATAACACACCTTATATTCATCTCTAAACCCTGAGGTACTATTCTGAAAGTGGCTAACTCTGAAGTGTAGCGTCAGAGAGCCTAACTACATTCATTCAACCTTTAACACATATTCACAATAATTTGCTCTTTTTACAGTCACACGAATAAGTTAAAATTTTTGGCATTACCTTTCACTTTTAACATATCACAGTATTTCTTAACGTTTAAAATAACAGTTCACATTGTATATAAGGACATATTAACATGCCGTTAATTTTACGCATTTTAAAAAACATACATTAGTAGTACATTGTTAACTTCTATTCTTTTCCAAGCAAGTGCCAATTCTTCTACATTGAAATACTACATTTCAAAAGTCTTTCAGACTAAAAACTTCTTTCTTGCCAGAATCTTTTAAATAAAATTTTATACAATAACAATTTTACAATATTCAAGTATTTACACATTCCTATTATACAATTAATTTTAGTTTTACTCGCGAGTAATTGAAAAACATAATACCAAAATAGGTACACAACTCATTTCTCGCCTTTTTGGCGATAAAGGTAGACCTCACATGAGGTAAAACGTTCTTGAATTCTGCCACTTGCAGTAAGAATGAAAGATTAACTTAAGGTTTGCAAAGTAACATAAAGTTTTACTTATCTTTGTGATATTCGGACATCCTTTTTTCTGCCCAGTCCTGGAAGGTAGCGAAGACTACGTGTTTGGTTTATCCTCCTTCTTGTGCGGGTTCGCCCTTCAGTTCCTTCCTCCAGTGAGCTTTCTTTTCCTTCCAGTTCGGTCACCCTTGAAGACCTTCTTTTTAATCCGCCTCTGCCTGTGGTCTCGGCCGTTTGATGGCAGCTGGTCTTGGCGGAATCGGGACAACTCTCTCTCGTTCCTGCTTGGATCTCGTTGCTGGCTGTTCAAATTTTCCTTGTTTCTTTGCATCCGCAGCTGGTGTTCCTTCATCAATTCGTCGACATTTGCTGCGTAGACTCCTATCCGTTGGGTAGATCTTCCGTTTTGGAGCCGTGTTATAGTTGCCGTCATTTCTCCTGGCTCTCTTTGCATTAGTCGTACTTCTCCCTTCTTCATTCTGGGGGTGGTCGTGCTCTCTCTTTTCTGGTCGGTGGTGGAACGGCTTCTTTTTCTTGTTACCTTCAATTTTCCAACGGGGGAAACTTTCTTTTCAATTGCTCCTGCCTTCTAATGGCTTGCCCTTGTGATTGTCGTTGTTCCACCTCTGGAGCTTGTGCCTGCCGTGCCGGATCCTGCAAAAGATCTTGAAATATTTGCATTTTATTACGATTATAGAATGGTTTTATCTGGTCAATGTTTGCGGTTCAGGCATTTTCACCATTCCTGGCTTTTAACACCACTACAGCCTGAGTTACTTTTTTCTATGACATATGGTCCTTCAAATCGTGGATAAAACTTTGGCAGTTTTATCTTCTGGTGCTGAAGAAAGTGAATGCTTAATTTTTAACACTTCATCTCCTACTTTATAAGTTACTCCCCGTCGTTTCATATCATAATAAAGTTTCTGTTTTCTCTTGTGCTACTTCAGTGTTCTTTTTTGCTTCTTAATTAATTTTTCTATATCGCCCATTTTAAATTCTGGGGCTCTTTGTTGAACATAAAATAATTTATCTAACGGCGTTATAATCTTTCTGCCTAAAAATAACTCAGCAGGAGTTTTGCCCGTTGTATCATGTTTTGCGGTC